TATTGCCGCCCCCCCCCCCCCCCCCCAAAAGCAGCCGGTGTCCCTCCCACTGGCAAGGGGAGAGCAGTCCGTGGGGCTCAGCCTGACCCTGCTGCAGCCCCCCAGGCTGCGGGTTTGCCAGTCGCCCTGCGAGGGAGGGATGCTGCCCTGAGGGTCCTCCGAGCAGGGCCAAGTGGCAGGAGCTCTGCCAGGCTGGGAGATGTGCCTGCCCCCCCCAAAAGCAGCCGGTGTCCCTCCCACTGGCAAGGGGAGAGCAGTCCGTGGGGCTCAGCCTGGCCGACCCTGCTGCAGCCCCCCAGGCTGCGGGTTTGCCAGTCGCCCTGCGAGGGGATGATGCTGCCCTGAGGGTCCTCCGAGCAGGGCCAAGTGGCAGGAGCTCTGCCAGGCTGGGAGATGTGCCTGGGCTCGGGGGAAGAGCAGGCTTTCTCCGGGCACCGATGGGCTCCTCGTGCAAGGACAGAGTGTGCAGCTGAAGGAGACATGCTCCCACTGTCAAAACTCATACATTACGAGGTTATGGGGCTGGCGCAAGGCAGCCCGGAGCTGAGGCAACTCCCTGCCAGCTCAGGCACAACCTGCTCCGGTGCTCAGAGGTCCACAGGTTCCCTGGACCCATCCTGGGTGCGGGGTCCCAGCCCCACACCTTAGCGACAGCTCTGTGGCCCAGGATGCTGCAGGGATTCCCACGTGCCTGGCCCCAGAGGAGGAGGCTGATGGCCTTCACCGGGGCCGAACCTCCCTGCCTGCCCTCTGCCTTGGCAGCAAGGGACCAGCTGGGCCAGCAAGCTCCGGAGCAGCCTGGCAGCACCTCCGTGGCTCCAGGCCCACGATCTACGCCATGAAATCAAGCGGCCCTGGGGCTGCACTGAGCCTGCCTGCCTGGGGCTGCCACTGAGCCAAGAGCCTGGCAGACCAAAGCCGGGGCTGGGTCGCAGGGCTCTCTCCACAACGAGCCTCTAAGCTCACCTGCAGAGCACAGAAGGGCCTTGGTTTCCTTTGGTCCCGGGGGTCCTGGGTCTGGGCACAGACAGCCAGGACCGCCCCGCTGAAGCGGCAGCTGCTGGGGGCCCATGGGGACCCCTGCTCGACACCCCCAGTCCCCAGAGGAGTCTGCTCGAGCTGCCCGCATGGGCACGACGAGCCGGCGCGGGAAGGGGAGCAGGGGGTAGTTTGGGGCAGGTTGCGAAGTCGACGCTGCCAGCAGGTGCTGGTTTCTGCGGGCTCAGCAGAGCCGGCGCAGTTACGGGGACAGGTTACGGGGACAGGAGTGGGCTCCGCATCCGCACACACCTATCAGGCTGACAAAGACACAAATGCTGTTCTTGCTATCTGGGGAGGAAATTAAAGCAAATTAAAGCAGCAGGGCGTGCACCAGGCAGGAGCTTTGGCAGAGGTGTGCCGGCGGGCAGCTCCTCAAGGGTTAATTCCTCCCTCTCTGCCCCATTAGCAGCAGCAGCAGGATGGATTTGGTCATGCTGCGGGAAGGGGAGGGAGCGCTCTCAGGGGCTCTCTTTGCAGGGACTAATCCTGAGCAGGAGCCTGTCTCCCCAGCCCCAGCCTGGAGGTGACGCAGCCCTGTCCCCAATCCTGTCCCAGGTGCAAACTGCCCATGAAACCTGCAGGCACAGGGGCGGGGGAGTCTCCCTCCCGCCCCAGCATGTAGTGTCCTCTGGGGACCTCTGTGAGCCCCCACGGACCCCACTGCCGGTGCCCACCTCCCTGGCAGTGCCGTGCCCACTCAGGCCCACGCAGGTGATGGGCGAGGATGCTGCACGAGACCTTGTGCGCTCACCGCGTGCCAGGCTGGCAGCCACAGCCGAGGCTCACGGCTGGCAGGTGAACCGCAGGAAGCGCTCCTGTCCTCGCCAGCCTGGCTGCAGCCCCTCGGCCGCAGGCAGGACCCCCGGCCAAGCCCTGAAGGGTTAAGTCCCCTGCGGGGATGGAGGGTGAGCTCAGGTAGGCGTGAGCTCCCACTTCCAGAGCCAGAGCAGGGCTGCCTGCCGGAGCCGGAGGAGGGGCCTGGCTGACCGCTGCTGCTGCTATAAAACTCCCTGCTCCTGCCACACTCAGCGTCTTAAGATGCACATGTGTGGGGAGAGGAAACAGGCAGCCCTGCTTGTAAGCAGCCCTTAACCCCTTCTGCGCGGAGAGAGCCGTCAGGGAGCTGGGGAGGGGGACCCCCTGCCGCACCACCTCCCAGCCAGAGCCTGCCCGGGGAGGGCGACGCGAGCCGGGGCTCCCCGGACCCCAGCCGAGGAAGCAGCATGAGCGCCTGGAGCTGAGGCCGCCTGCAGCAGGAGGAGGTTGGCAGAGCGCGGCGGTCCCCACGCGGCTTCCCCGGTGTCCCCTCACCGCCCAACATGTCCTTTGCCATGCTGCGCTCGGCCCCCAGCCGGTACCTGTACCCCGAGATCAGCATGCTGTCCGAGGACGAGGAGAACGGCAGCGAGAGCTCCGGCTCCGACGAGAAGCCCTACCACCTGGACACCGACGGCTACGGCATCAAGGCCAGCAAGCGCAGGAGCGGCAAGAAACCCAACCGGATCAACAGGGAGCCCCGGCAGCGTCACACAGCCAACGCGCGGGAGCGTGACCGCACCAACAGCGTCAACACCGCCTTCACCGCCCTCCGCACGCTCATCCCCACCGAGCCGGCCGACAGAAAGCTCTCCAAGATCGAGACCTTGAGACTGGCCTCCAGCTACATCTCCCACCTGGGGAACGTGCTGCTGGTGGGGGAGGCGTGCGGGGATGGGCAGCCCTGCCACACCACCCCTGCCTTCTACCACCACGGCGGCAGCAGCCCCTCCGCGCGCGACACCGAGAACTCCCAGCCCAAACAGATCTGCACTTTCTGCCTCAGCAACCAGAGGAAGCTGGTAAGTGGCTGCTCGCGCCGTCCCCGCGGGGCTTTCGGCTGGAGGGGGCTGCGCCAGCTGTGGCAGGGGACCCCCAGGCATCCTCAGCCACGGCCACACCAGGAGGGGGTTAGGGAGCACCAGGGCGCCGGCTACGGCTCTGCTGCCATCGGGCCGGTGCGAGCCAAGGGGGAGATGGGATGGCTGGGCGAGACGAAGCAGCTCCGGTGCGAGCTGCATCGACACGGGCTGGAGAGCACGCCAGACCCCGTCGGTGAGCCTGAAACTCAGGCGTGGAAAATACGGTGCCTCCCTTTAGCATGTCTAGATTTGCTGCTCAAAGCCCCCAGCAGCTGCGTCCGAATCTCATGCGCGTTCACTGAAAGGCAAAGGGACGGGAGAAGGGGAAACCCTCCGAGGGCGAGAAACAGATTTTAGAAGCTGGAAATCAGAGGCACAGGGAAAGTCAGAGTCTGGAAAGAGTCTGCATCTCCCCTCCGGCAGAGTCTAGGCAGCAAATGGAGAGGCGAGAGCGATTTGGGCACAGGGCTGGCTGCAGCCAGGGCTCCCAGCCCCCTGATGCTGGCTGCTGGCGGCAGGGCCGGCTCCCTGGGCTGGTCCGTCTGCCTGGGCGAGGGCTGCGCTGGCTCTGCACAACCAGCCGTGGGCCCGGTGTCCCGGGGAGCCATGCTGAGACAGGGATCGGGGGGAAGCTGAGGCCAATGCCACGGCATGTAGGTGCCCCTCGAGCCTCCCGGAGGATCGTGGGGACCAGCAGCTCTGCCCCACGAGCACTCGGGAAGCGGGATGGCTGTCCCAGCTTGCCAAAGGCACCAGCGGGTCTCTACCACCGAGCGGGAGCCGTAATGTCCTGGCCAGCCCGGTTCACCCAGTGTCCCCCGCTCCTGGCTCTCAACCCCCTGCCTTTAGGGGAGCGCTCTCCTCCCGGCGTCTGGGCAGGCAGCACCACCTCGCGCCAGGACCAGCCTTCTGGCAGAGGCTGGCACCAGCGCTGGCCAACGCCTGCCATGCAGGCTCACGTCTCCAGGAGGGTCGGCACCACTGCCCACGGAGAGTGAGGGGGCAGGTGGAGTAGGACACGAGTCTGGCAGCCAGACTAGGAAAATCCAGCTTCAGCAGCAGCTCTGCCGAGGCTCCGGGAGCCGTTTGGGCGACTGGCACCGGCTGGGAGAGGCAGTGAGCTGCTGCCTCCCTGGCACGGCCCTGCCTGTCTGAGCAAACCTCCTCTGGTGGTGCAGGGAAAGCAAACCCCCCCTCCCCGGCCCCGGGGCTGCCGTGCAGGGAGCGGCGGCACGGTGCAGGGCTGCAGCCTTTCTTGGGGCTCTCCTGACGTACAGGGCAGCTCTTGCCACGCAGACACAGCCACGGGGGAGCGGGGGCACAGGGAGGAGGCGGCTGTCAAGAGTCTCAAGCCCTGCTCAAGAACGCTGTGCCCTGGGTGGCTGGGTTTTAAAAACCTGTTGGTCTCCTGCACGGAGCAGATGGTCTCCAGCAGGGTAGAGGTGAAAGAGAGCACAAGAGCTGAGGCAGAGGCGTCGGGATGGCAGCCCGAGCCATGCATGCACGCTCCGCCGCCGTTTGAACCCGTTTAACCCCAATGAGTAAGGCCCTGAAGAGGGAGAAGTCTTTGTTAAGGATTCAAGGCTCATTAAGCATGAAGCAGTGGCGGTAAAACCAGTCACAAGCAGACTCGGACAGCTTGAGTATTTCAGAGCAGGAAAACCCCAAACCCTGTTAATCCCCCTTGCACGTCCTTTCCAATTCACTAGAGAAGGAGACAGAGCTGGGAGCAGCAGGCAGGAGGCAACAACGTCAGGAGTCTTTGCATCTGCTGGGATTTACACTGCTAAATCTTAAGTCATCAAAGACGAATACACGGGGCTCTTTCCGCTTGGGCAGCGGAGACCAAGCGCTTCCCCCGTCTGTAGCTTTCGTGAGCACCAGTGTCAAATTCTCCCCAGTGGGTGAGGGATGCAGACCGCCGGCTGTAAAGTGCCCTCATGCTCCAGCAAACTGCTCAAGCCAGTGCTACCCCAGTTTAAAAACAGAAGCTGCAGGTGGGGAAGCTCCTACAGGGCTGAACTGGAAAACTCCCCCGCCTTCCAGTTACCAGCCTGTTCGGAAACCTCCTGTAACAGCTTCAAAGATCAAGTTCTCTGTCTCTTTTGCTGGTATTGCCACTTTTGCATCAATTCCGATAAATTCCCATTGCCACTTTTGCATCAGTTCCGAGCGTGGACTCCTGTGCGGGAGCAAACCCCAGGACAGGCACGTCTGTGCCAAGGCGTGTGGAAAGGATAAGCAGTGCGGGACTCCCGGGCCAAGATGGGCCACCTCCCTTCCTGCCGCTCTTCTGGATAAACCTCCCCAAGTTTAGATCCTCAGCGGCTGTCAAAGGGGACAAGATACTTTGGTTTGGTTGAGAAATAAGCTAGGTCGGGCTCATGCTGGGAAGAGGGGACCAAACAGACCGTGCCTAAGCAGTGCACTCGGTCTGTGCTTGAGATTTTTACGGCCAGATAACAACTCAGTAGGTTTTACTGCGTGTTAAAGGAATAAAATAAACCATCTTTTATCAGGAAGGTATTTTGACAAATGGCGAGGAAATGAAAGCAATCTCCTCTGGAGTTGCAAACACGGCGCAGCTGGGATCTCACAGCCTGTTTGACGTTGGGTGGAAGGGACCCTGCCTCAGCTCTGGAGAGCCAGATGGCCACCGTCCCGTTCAGGAGAAGCCAGCTCCATGCGAGACCACTCGCCTCGCTGGGCACCCAAAGCGCCAACGTGCGTGGCAGCTCCAGCCACGCTGCCAGGCTTGCGAGCTCAGCAAGCGACAGCACACACCTCCTCAGAGACCCCCTCCCCACTTACCCGTCCCACGAGGGAAGGAGGCAGAGCCACTTCTCCTCTCCCAAACACGCACGCGCACACACAGCTTCACTCCACGCTGAGCTTAGAGGAGAGCAGCTTGATCATATCAGAATATAAATTGTCTTGCGCTGCTGGGTGCTCAGGTCAAAACAGCCCATCCACCCCCGTCAGAAAGGTCTGCTTTTCCACCATGCCTTTTTGCTCACATGTAATGATGTTGTTTCAACCAGTGCAACCTTGTGGTACGTTATTCTGTCCGTCTCCGGCTTTCTAGGCTTTGCCAAAGAAAGGGTAACCTCGTGAGGGATCTCCTTCACGGTGCCCCCAAGCGAGCCCCTGAACCGTTTGCCCCTCTGTCACCAGCTCTGCCCGTCCATTTTGCGCCAGACGTGCCGTGCAAGCTCTCCCCGAGAGCCGGCCAGGCTGCGGTGGGAGACACACCAGTCTGCAGGCACCTGCTGCGGCTGGCTCTCTAAAACCTCCTCCTTCCCAAAAGGCCCAAGACGCACCGTGCCTGCCCAGCTCCCAGCCCTTCCGCAGCCTCCGTCCGTGCCGGGCACACCGTCTCCATTCCGAGCCGTGGGAGGCTGCACCTGACCCGTGACTCCGAGGGGGACGCCGATGCCACGGCTCCCCTCGTTAAAAGCCTGACACGCTCTGGAGAAGGAGGAGATGGCACGCACGGCACTGAAGCCCCATGAGACAGTGTGGGCAGAGGCCAGATGCCACCTCATCCCTGGGCACCCTGGCCGGGAAGGCAGGAGCACCAGGGAAGTTGCGGGTGAGCATTTGCGGTCGCTGTGAGCAGGACCCGCTGCAGGGAGGGGAGAAACAGGAGGGAAGGCGTGAGCTGCCATGCAGAGGCTCTTTCTAGTGAGAGGGGTCACAGGACAGAGCTCGGGCGGGATGTTTGGGGTTGCCGGCTGCTGTGGGCACCCCAAAGGACAGCCGAGTAGGGCAGCAAACTTTCTGCGAACCCTTCCTAGCCGGGCCTTCACCTTGTCCCGCTTTTGCTGGCCGAGCAGCACCACATCGGGCAAAGGGGCTTGCCCAAATTCATGCTGCATGACTCAGCGTCGCCTCGCACCCAGGCATCCTGACGCCGCCTTATCCCAGGGACTTTCCCGTATCGGGTTGAAACCAACACCATCTCCCTGGAAAGATCCTTCTTTAAAATGACTCATGTGGAGGTGTTCGCCGCCCACCAGAGAAAGGCCGAGCTCTGCTAAAGGGGCTGCCTGGGCTGGCGGCTGCTCAGGCTTGTGCCAGTTCCCCCAGATCTAATTGAAAGGTTAAAAACCTGCATGGGGACAAGGCCTTGGACTATGCCCCAGTCAGGACACAAGCAGGAGGGAGGTGGACACCATACCGGTAGGAGCATCACACTTGCCACAGGCGCTGCAGGACAATGTGTGGGTGGGTGGCAGTGACGGACGGGACGGTCCCCGGCATTGCTGGGGAGCAAGCTCGTGCCATTCCCGTAAGCGAGAGCTGGGAGAGGGGGCCCAGGGCCATGGTGCCCCGGACACCCCATCCCTGCCAGCCTGTGATGGGGCTTGTGCTTCTGCAGGTTTTCCTTTGTGGGTGTTGCCTGTGTCATCGTCCCCGCCAGGACACACAGTGCTGGCGGGGGAAAAACAGGACGTTTCTCCTCCAGTGACTGTATCGGCTGGGGGGGGGGAGTGG